TTAATAAATTTAGTAAAACAAGAAAAGCTATTTAATATTGATTATTAATTATTTAACAATTTATTTGAAATAAATTTGTAGAGAGAAAAGGCGGACCCAACGTGCGTATGGTTTTATCAAAAGTGGGAGAAAGATAAAAGAAGAATGAAAAGAGAACAAAAGATGATTTCCGGTTATTATAGGGAGAGTCATCCTTCTTTAAGAAGGTATTCTAAATGAAGAGTAAAGAGTCCAAAAGAGAATCAGCACGGTGGGCGTCTACGGGCGTTTTACAGTCGTTTCTGAATATTGCGAAACTTCCCGTGAATTACGAAAACTGGGGCCGGAATCGAGTTGGTTGATCTCCAAGACCTCGAATGAAGGTGGGCAGGACAACTGGATCACGCATAGCTTAAAAAGATACGTTGGTTACAATTTTTTTTTATTATCCTTTTTTCTTTATTTTCATATCCGCGAAAGTTCCATTTTTCTACGTTATGGAACAATTTATTGATTCTAAAAATGAATGAAAGGATGTCAATTTAGAAAAAAAATAAATAAAAAAACATTTTAAAATGATTAACCCTTAGAGTGCTATAGACGCATATATGCGTTTGGTAAAAATTACCGGAGTGGTGGTCTATCAATGCATGTATGTGTTTGTTAATATTAATGTAAAATAATGTAATATAATTTATATTAATAATGTTATTATATAATATAATATTACTTAATATTAATATATTATATTAATTATTATATTATTAATATTGATATTATTATATTAATTAATTAAATTATATTTGTAGAAAGAAAAACTTTAATTATTAAATATAATTTATTATTAATCAATTATTCCGTTCCTACAAACCATTTTAGTTAAAAGTATTCATCACTCAAAGGGTTAATCAACATTTTATATTTGTGCACGAATGAGAAATTGAATTTGATGCTTTTCGTTGACAGGTGTATTTTTTAATTTTAGGTTCTGAAAGACAAAGAATTTATAGAAAGGTAAAGGGTTAAAAAGATACTTTTATTTATTTTGTAAAACTATTTTTACAATTAGTAAAACGTACTGTAACAACTTATTATGTCTGACACCACAAAATAAGTAGATAAAATTCATTGAAAGATCGAATATGCAAAATAACTTATTAGTAAGTGTATATGTAAATAATGGACTCGTGAAACTTTATACAAAAATTCAGACTTTTTCGACAAAGAATGACCAAAAGAAAAATAAAAAAAAAATAGAAAGAGAGAGAGAGAGAGAGAGATTGTATCCTTTCTGGTTCAATTGAATGGCGAGAAAGTTTTTTTGCGGCGAAACGAAAACTGTTCTCTTTCTTTTCTATACTAACCACTTTTAATCTTTTCACATACACACACACATGCATGTACGCATATACAGTTATGTATATATTTAGGTATAAAAGCCAAAATGCGTGTGAGATAAAAAAAAAACAAGAGTCAATCTTTTTCTTATTTTTTTTTCTCCAATTTCTGCATTGCTCTCATTTACAATTTTTTGTTTATATTTCGAATAAAGAAAACTTTAAAGAAAATTTTTCTTTATTTTGTTGTTCTAACAAATTAACAAATGAATGATCGTTAAATCGTTTGAAATCATAACATTTGCATTAGTTAAACTTCAAAATTATACATAACTGTATAAAACTGTCAACGTTGGAACATTTTTGTTCCTTATATCGCACGTTGTCAGACAATTTATTACTATCTGACAGGAAATAGTGTATTAGAAAATGATTAACAATCATTAATAATGTATACATATTTAATTAGACAAGTCAATGGACTTTGTCCAGTTAATACAAAATTTTTATAAAATATTTTTAAAAAATTGATCAAAAAATCCTCATATCTAATGAGACGTGTTTTATTTATCACAAATTTCATAAAAAAAAAATATGAAGTTTTAACTAAAATTATCACAAATCTTTGATCTGTATATACATACATATATATACATATATATATATATATATATATATATATATANTATATATATATATATATATATATATATAGACTGTAAAAGTGTTCAAGGTGTTATTTAAAAAAAACAGCGATAACCATTTTTTTTTACGTAACGTTAGATTACAATCATTATGACTAATTCACACGATGTCTACTTATTTTCGGTTTTTTTTCTCCATTAGTAATGGAAAAATTTTCCAAACGATTAATTTCATTTGAAATTGTAAAAATCATTTAATAAGAAACAAATATTAAAAGACTTTCCGCGAATTTAAAACACAAAAAAAAACAAATTACCATTTATTGTTATCAAACGATAAGGATGGGGCAGCATTGGCAAATAAGTGTTGGAGTTTTGATAAGTGAAACTTACATAATAATCTATGAATGTAGTTGTGTAGCAGTTGACTACTACGTCTTTGACGTTGAACGTTGACGATGAAACATTAACAAGAGGGAGAGAGAGAGAGAGAGACCAGCAGGTAAGTGCACCTGCAGTGCTTCTATAACCACACACGCACACATATGTATCGCGTAACCTCGATGTAAAGTAACCTCGAGGAAGGAGGTGAAAAAAGAAGGAAGAAGTAGTGGAGGCCAGGAAGAAGAAGACGAAGAAGAAGAAGAAGAAGACCAGATGAAACGAGTTAGACTATGAGCAATACTGGACGAACGGTTGGAACAGGGTAAGAAAAAGAATTTCAACTATAGACGATGAGTATTGTTCTCACAGCTGTTTCACCTAGTTTTCCACCAGCTCGTCCCATTGCGATGGTAATTTCGTCGTTGTATTGTGTCAGTTATACGTCGAAGTTTATACATAACTACAACTGTTTTTGATGATACCAAAAAGGACATATTTTCTTATATAAATACCTAAGATTACTATTATTTTATTATTCATGTTTAATTATCTATGTTATATTATATTTTGGTAAATACATGTTCGTTATCAATCAAAGTACTTAACAATTTAGTTAAATTATATAATAAGACTATTGTAAAAAAAAAATGATTATAATACTGATATATATTACAAATATAAAATAATTAAGGTACTAATATCTTAAGTACTTAAAAATACTTCAATATAAACGCATACTTTATTTGCATACACGTAACAGTTCATATCTCATCATATTAGATATTGTATAATACATACATAAATAATGAAATATTTGGATAGCTATATAAGAAAGAATGTTTGTAATGAAGGGGGGTAAGTGAGGGGGAGACGATCGAAGAGAACGAAAAGGTGGGATCTAAATCTAAAACTAGGCGGTCCGGTAACAAGGAGGCGGCCTTGTTTCTCTGTGTTACCTTTTGCTGTGAGTGTTACGGCGCCGACGCACTTCTGTCTCTCCTACTTCTTATACTAAATCCACCACCTCCATTACCAACACACTACTACTACACAACAACACCACCACCACCACTCTCGTCACCAGCACGCTTTGCCGAATCAAATCTGCTCGCGGATCTTGAGTGCGCGCGCACACATATACTATACAGACGTACCTGGTCGTCGTGCTCATGCTCATTGGTGTGGTGGGCCGATCAGCTTCAAGAGATGAAATGGGTATTCAAGATGGATTCTCTCAACTACCTGTTCAATAGATAAACGCCATTTGTTATTTTCTAATATCTAAATTGTCATTTTATTTATACGGTCATTTAATTGCACATTCATTTGATTTAGTTTGCAAATGAAGTCATTTAGAGTATTCTTATGAATTATAAAAAAAAAAAATGAGAGATAATATACTTAACTGTTCATTCAGTATGATGATTCTCCTGGTGTGGTGGTCAATCAACAACATTCACAATTTCGGGGTCTACCTTTCTCCGATATAATATATATATGTCGATTGAGTGCTCAAGATGAATCTCGATGAGTCGACGATCTTTACAAGGAAATGATCGTCCCCCCACACCCCATGATGTTCCTTCTTCCGTCGTAATATTATTTTTAAAACGTAATTGAACGATCATTGCGTTTTCGATGTACCGTTTCAAATCAATCAGTTCCTTCTTACCAAGAAAAGCGATTAAAGTATACGACAGTGGGCTGATTAATCATCGTGATTACCTTCATTTTTCATACTTCTCTTTCAAAATGAAATCAATTTCTTTCTTTCTTTCTTTCTTTCTTTTGTGAGTTTCGTAAGAAAGAAAATATTATAAATAAATATTAAAATAAATACTGGTCAACGCATTTCAATAGATATCAGATTGAAGTTGACGTTCTTGAAATTTAAAATTGTAAATTGTCATTTAAATTTTCTTTTACGACTACTTATCAGGGAATGAGAATTACGATGATTATATTCGATGACATTGAAATAATGCAATATTACACGTGTCTCTCATTTTTTCTTCTACAAACAAATTGTACAGAAGAAAAATGAATATTACAAAATGGAATAAAAATTAGACAAAATTTGTAAATAATTTTTTTCTTTTTTTTAATCAATCGAATAGGTCAATCCTTGATGTGACCTACCATTTTTCTCTTATCAGGTTTACTAAGATAAACTTGCCAACGAGGATTCAGAAAGTGGTGAAGATACACATTTTATTTTTTTATTTTCATCAGGTTGGGGAGACTAATTTAAAATCGTGTATGTGTATGATAGAAAAAAAAAGAATTGAGTATAGAGAGACACTTATGCAAATGTAAAGGAATCAAATGTGCATCCATCAGAGGATAGAAAAAGATAGAAAAGGAAAGAAAAAGAAAGAAAGAAATTGTGCTGCCCCTTCTACTATAAAAGTCTTGTCCCGTTGAAAAGCTCGTAGCGGAGTGGTAGGCGTGGTCTTTGGATAAGTTGTGTGTGTAGTATGCGTATACATGTCTTACATTTGTATACATACACGCATGAAGGAAGACACGCACGGGTGCGCAGGTGAGAAGAGAGAAACCCGAGCAGGTAAGGGGAAGCTACCGGCGCGCACGCCACTATACGAGACCGTTCGTACCCTCCTCGGGCTCACCGGGGTCAGTCAGGGTCCTGCTCTTAGCCAGGACACTCCAATATCTTGCGCACGCGGACACGACACCGGGTGACGAATCTAAGAAAAATAAAGAGAAAGAGAAACAAAGAAAGAAAACGATAGAAAACAACGATTTCGATAGATCATAGACAATTTTTCTGATCTTCTTTTTTCTTGATATTATCTTTCAAATTTATCTTCGTTAATTATAATTATCATCTTTCTCTCGATTTTCTTCGATTGTCATTTTGTACGACACATTATATTATCAAAGATAGGAAGATATACGAGTAGTTTTTGAATTTGTCGAGTGTCAGTTAAAATTAATAATCAAAAAAGAAAATATTTCTTTTGTATGTATTTTTCAATAAGTTCCGTCTTACGTTGAATTGTCCTGTCACAATTGAACAAATTGGACAATTGGTCCAAAGGTTGACCTGGGTCAACCATGTGGTAAAACTCTCCTTCTATATCTTGATCTCTCTCTCTACCACAGGGAGGGTTAACGTTTTATTTCGAGAAAAAAAGGATTAAGAAGTTGAAGAATAAGAAGAAGAAGAATATAAGTCAAGGATATTTTCCTTCAATATATTTTGATAAAGCATTCCATTGACGCATTGGAAAACTGGTTTCTGTAATTTCTGGGAGAAGTGTAAGAGATCAAAAAAGCAGGTAGTAGTTGGACGATCGTTCAACTTTTCCTACATGAACGGAGGGAAGAAGAAGAGGAAGCCCTGATTTCGTAGCAAGGTTTTGACGTGTTTACGTTGCCATTGCGATTAGGAACGTGATGTGTGGTAAGTCATGAATTTTTTATTAATGACAATTACCAATTAAATGAATAATAATGTAATAAGGCTAATGAAGAAATTGTCGGTAGTCATAGTTCATAATATGCATGTATTAAATTACAAATCAATTTTCAATGTTTCATTTATTATTATTATTATTATTATTATTATTATTATTTTGTTGCTACGTACAATAATGAAATATATTTGAGATTTTTTTTATTATAAATTATTTTGTCATTTGATTTCAAACTAGTGTAGTAACATTGAACTAGTTTTTTCCTTGGCTAACGATATTACACGTATTAAAAAAATGAAATGTTAAAAAAGAAAAAGAAAAAGAAAAAAAAAAGAATGAAAATATAACCGGTTATCTTTTGGAGAGTCACGTGGTAGCATCAATTATTGAGAAAATTATCGAATAAAACTAAACGCGTCTGTGTTAATACGTAAAAAGCAAGTCATCGTTAATTGGTAACGTTTAGTATTAGTCATTTTCTATCATTTAACATACATACACTTATGCATTACTTGAAAATTGAGTAGGTAGGTCGTAAATGAAAAATTGTAAAGAGTTTATGTTTTAAAATTTAGATTTTTATTTTTTTAACGTTAAAATTTCATGGTATAGTTTGCGTTCTGCTTTTTATATATCGTTTCTTCCTTCCGTGCATTCTTCTTAACAAAAAGGAAAGAAGAGAGAGAGAGAGAGAAAAAGAAAAAAAAAACTTTCCCTAAAAAAATCTTCTCAACACTTGGATAAACAAATTTCGGCCTATTTAACGAGTGTCAATAAGTTCCTATCAATCCCAGCCCCGATTCATGACTATTTCGAGATTTCCATGAATATTCATCAAACGATAACGCAATCGTATTCGCTATTAACATTTTAGCCGAGGATGTTTCCGTTTTTTCACTTCTTTTTTTTTTCTTCTTTTTCTTTAATTTTTATTTTTTCACTCGATGCCACATGTTAAGTTTTTTTTATTGACACACACCTACACACATATATAGACACACTCTTTCAATCCAGATTTTTATTACTTTTCGTGTTTTTCTTATTTCTTTTTTTTTTCTTTTTCCTTGAAAAGCTTTGCTGTTAACTCGCAGTCAATTTGTGATAAAATGTTTTTTAAGTACGCGAGAGTGCTTACTTTTAAAACACGTGTTTACTTAAGTACGAATTGAAACGGTTAGAAATATTTGTATTCCGATTAAAATCATTTCTTTTTTTTTTTTTTCATTTAAATTGATTATAATTATGCGTTTTAAGATATTTATATACTTTTTTTTTTCTATAGAAAATAATGTATTTTGTTATTTGTATTTTTCAACTTTATCATATCATGTATATTATAAATTATGCAAGAATAAAAAATGAACAAGAAGATATATAACGTGCGATAGAACGAGAGATGGATAATTTTAATTAACATAATAAGTTACATTTAATAAATGTGTTCGATCTATCAAAAACGATGAAATCCCTTTTGGGTAAAATACTTTAACAGATATAGTGCATATATGCAATATATATTTTTTGTTCTTTTCATTTTCATTTTAACAAAGTTACGACGATTTTAAATGTATGCGTATATAATCTCGTAAATAATTAGCACATCCGGTAACAACAATGTAAAACTCGGTATTAATGAAAGACTTTATCTATGCAAATCAATCGACAACTCGTTAAAACCACTTTACTTATACTTATCTTTTATGCAAGAATGTAGTCGCTTAAATCTTCAAACAGATTTATTCAAAATGAATGATATTTAATAGAATGATTAGAATGATTATTATGTTCTTTTTTTTTTTGTTTTCTTTTTCTAATACATGATCGAATGAAAGCACACCTACGAGTATATTATGCGATTGCTATCGTTAATGAAAAAAAAGAAAGAAAAAAACCTTGAATATTTTATTATTTTTTTTTTTTTGTTATTTCCTTTATTTAATTTTTTTTTTCTTGATCATGCTCGATCGTTTACAACTATGCAATATATCGTAGTGTTTGATCAGTTGTTACAATTTTTCTTCTCTTTTTTTTTATTTTTATTTCCCTTCTTCTCCTACGTAGTAGTAATTATTTGTAAACCATAATTGAGTTATATATATATGTATATACTATACACACAATTGTAACATGCTCACTCGACGGATTAATAATTGCGATTGCGTAAATATCGTATGACACAGTGTTAATGATGATGATGATGATGATGATGATGATGATGATGATGATGATGATCAGATGATGATGATGATGTGATGATAATGATAATCGTTGCCATAACACTCTCTTCAAGCAGATATTATCGCAAATGCAGAAAACACATTTGTCCCAACTCTTATGATAATTAGTTAACAACGGCATCCAATTAAATGTAATGAAAGAAAATCTTCCAAATGTCAAAATAGAACGGATCGTTTAGTTTCATTCAAACAAATTAAGCGGCTCACGAGTAATCGGTGAGATAAGGAAGAGAAATTAAAAAATATAATATATAGTATACACACACATACATACATACACATATATAAACATAAAAAAAGCAAATAAGATTTCAATCACGATTAGATCAATTGTAATAATATTTGAAGCCGGTTGTTTTTGAACGAGGTCAAAGAATTTCTTTAGAAAAGATTATACGTCTTACGTCTTCTTTGTAATTAAATATATACTATCTTATTATACTTATTTAAATACTTATACATATAATTATTGAATTGATGATACTCAAATTCCTTCTTATTTGTTATCAAACAAATTTCAACGATAATTTTTTTTAATGAAACATCGCTTCATCATTTCTTTTTTTTTTTAATCTATTTCGTAGAAACGTATCAAAGAAAATATTTCTGTACTCATTTTTTCAATAAGAGACCATTTTTAACATCTTGATACGACGCAGTCGTGTTGAATATTTTAGTCTAATTAGACTTTGAAAATGACACGCGTATTCTTATCATTGTTAAAGTAAGAAAGAATAAAAATAGGAATAAATAAAAAAAAAAGAAGGTAATTCTAAAAAGCAGAAACAAGTATTGATACGTAAATCTTTATTATTCGTTTAGAGAAAAAAGAAAAAGAAACGATATACAACTTCATTGACATAGTTTTCATTAATCGATCATTTGTAAATTACAGATAATATAAATTATGTATGTGAAAATTGTATATCTATTTGTAGTATTGAAATTTGAAACGATATAGAAATAATAAATTGTCAAGTTTGTAGTATAGAACGTTAGGTTATTGTCTATGCTTTAAAACGTGTAACTGGGTTCGACGTGAACA